ATGATTCAGTGACCTACTAAAGGGGCGTGTGGAAAAACATGAGTAAAGCTAAGACCTGAATTTCGGGTTTCTTGGCTTCAATTCCTCCTGCCACTCAGTAGAAAGAAATTAAAAAGGGGAAAGGGGAGAGAACTGGAAATCAATGTGTTAATTTCTGTTGCCATCAAATGCCATTCACAGCACATCATAAACACGCAGCACAAAATCTTCACTAAAAGAAATGCCAAATCTCAACAGTCCAGCCAAGTTTTTTCAGAGCACGCAACAGTTACTGAGAACTGGCAATCTGAGGACAGAGCAGCTCCCTCTTCCCTGTTTCAGCAATCCATCAAAAATGATGGTTATGAAATCCATGCTGTATTTAAGCCAGGAAATAACATCTGTTTACTGAGTGCAAACACCAGATGAGAACTACAACAAAACATGTACACGGTAAATCAGAAGATGATATCAACAATATGCTTTTTTAATGAAAAATGTGACTACTGTGCACATACCTCTGCAGTAACACCCTGCACAACCAGGCCCACAGAAACCACTAACAGCTTGGGACCTGCAGAACCACCAAAATAGCCAGGAGCAACATGAAAAAATTGTCCCTGTATCCAAACCTCTGTCTGCAGAATTTGGCTGTTCTTCTTTGAGTCACGTGTAGCCCTGAAGACACCAAGACCTTAATCTGAACCAAGGCCTTCTCACACTACCACTACCAAGTGTTTACTTTGGCAAAGAAATGCATCTTTGAAAGGAGAACAGCTCAGCAGTCGTTCCGCAAACTGTCCCCAGGTTCAAGGTTGTCAAGGTGGAATTTCAAAGTGCATCTTACTCAGAGCTTAAAAGCTTGTGACTATATCAAGCATTTGACATAAGCAGGGTAAGAGGCTCAGAACCAATGCCCTGGTTCATACTGCACCCTGAATACAGCATCCTCGCTTTGAAGGGAGCCTTGTTATGGTTAATAAAGACTCATAACACAGCAACTCTGTTTAAATTCGGCTTAATTCACAGGGTAAACGCGGGAGTTTTTATCAGAGTAGCTTCTACAAGCAGTGTGTGAAATATGGAACTAAATTCTGGAAGTTCTTAATCTCAAACTTGCCATCAGCACTGCTAAGAACTTCCCCAAACAAACACACGATGCATTAACAAAGAATATGTGGCAAAGGTGCTTTGGAAACAAGCTGACCCCTAACGTCAGTCCACTGAGGAAGGGAATATTTTTGGCTTATACGAAGTGAAGGGGTCATATTGCCAAAGAGGAGAGATGAAATCTAGAAATGACCTGGCAAGCTGATCACAAGGCAGCCTTTGTCCCAGTTCCCAGACCCCGCTCTCCTGTTCTGTGCAACTTTAACAGGCAGGACCCAGAAGGTTTTAGACAAGTATCTCACACCAAAGTTAAAGCTCTTACCTCAAGCACAACACCTGGCACGGTGCTTAAGCTCTTATTAGGAGGAAAGAGAACTCTGAGGCTACTTCGGAATAACTGAGCCCACAAAGTCATCTTCATCTATTACATTAGTCATTCCAGCAGGATTTACCTCCCTGTCCTAGAGACAAATTATCACAAGGTCATTGACTCCTAACACGCATTTTTCAGAGCTCCACATGCAGTTTGGAACATGCAGATCTGCGTTTCCAAGTGCCTATTTCAGGTTTTGACCATTAGACAAACTATATCTCATTGTTCCCAAAGCAGAGTTTTCCACAGGGAAATCCAATGTCCCATATTCCAGCTTCTTAGGGCAATAAATGGTTTATAGTGCCCTTTTGTAAAGCACAAATTTTCACTTCACATGAGCCTTCAGCCCACATTCCACATGGAGCTGAACAGGATATTTCCACTGAAGACAACAGGCCTCCAAAATTAAGAGAAAAAATTCTTCTGCCCCAATCTCAGGAAAAAAGCCCTTCATGATACGCTGTTGCTGGAACATTTCCGAATACAGTTCAGCTTTGGAAAGTTATTTCTGGGTAATGTAATTATTTGGATAATGGTAAAGTTACTATTAAAGGCCTTTACTAAATTAAATATCAAGATGACGAATCATTTTACTTAATTCTGCACATTGCAGGTCATACAACCGCGAGCACAGTTTGTCATCAGAACGAGCAGTGTCCAAAGCTCTTTTTCATTTCAGAAAGCACATTTTTTACGATCTTTTTGCCTTTACAGTGGCCCGCCTGCCGCAGGGCAATTCTAGCTACCTCCACACACCAAGGTCTGCAAGGTCACCTTGTTTCAAAGAGCCGAGATGAAGAGGGTAAGAGGGGAAAACCAACGTCCTTTCATCTCTGTGAGTGTGGAACAATTCCCCCAATCAATCTCGGGAGAAAAACAGGTGACATTTAGATAAAGCCCAGCCCGTGCGATACCTGTTGTAAACCGCGGTGTTTATAAGTAACTTATTGATTTGGAAAATTGTTTTTAATCTGCTCGCTGTGCAGGGGACTATGCTATAGGCATACTTCCCCCTGTGGAACTGGCTTGTCTGAAATGAGACTTTTCAAGCCGTGCAACTGGATACGTGACTGAAACAGCTGTGATGAACATCAGAGTCAGCTTGGCTTGTACTGCACCAAGGCACAAGGGAATCGCTTCTCTGGTGTTCAGAAAAGGCTTTTTTTTTAATCCTAGGAAGTCTGACAGATAATAGCAGAAAGCCAAATTAAAAATAAATAAATAAATAAATTACATCACAATTAAAAGAGCCCAGGCTACACCACACATCCGTGATTCAGCATAAATTTGGTCACTGCCAAACGTTAACCACCCGAGGTAATGACCAAGGTAATGACCGAGGTAATCTAGAAAAACTCTGCTTTCTAGTCCATCAGCAAAGTTAATGGATACCATGCATTTTACTGCTTCTCTTTAAAACTTAAAACACTGAAACCCTAGAAAGGGGTGTCATGTGTAAATAAATATTACACAGAGAGCTCTGTTACAGCAGCTTCCTTGGGATTGTATTTAACACAGCTCTGAACACATGGGGAGTCAGCTCATGCTCCCACAAAGCAAAAAAACCCACTTCTGCACCTTTCTGTGCTACAGTTCTGGTTTCCATGCCCCCCACTTCTTTTCTAGAGTGAATTTCCATCCAGCACGGAAAATGTTAACACAGAATCCGAGTGTTTTGTCAGTGCTGGATCTGACATGGTGGGAAAGGTACAGCTGAGGCAACAGCCACCAAAACATCCCCATAAACCAACCAGGATCAAACCTGACCTGAAGCACAGCACAGAAGGCAGCTGCTGGTTACCTGAGGAGGACATGGACAGAGACCTACAACCTACACACTCAAATTAATCAACTGTTAAACAGAGATAACTCCTCATTTCATACCTACATTCATCACCCCAAACCAGACTTTCCAAAGTTATTTTAATCCTTTTTAGACCCAAGTTCACAGTCAGTTTGTTGAGCAGACTTAAAAAGCCGTCGAGTAATCAGGCTGGATCTGGGCAGGATGTTTCAGGGCTGCAGCTGAGCAAACCTTGAGGTACCCAAGCACAGAAGCATTAACAATGTGCTCTTCTCTGGCAGCCTCAGAGAAGATATTCTCTGCACCTTGTCTTATACCACCACCAGCAAGCAGGGTAAAATTATTTCTTCTGAAATAGATTTAGTGCTCAGTTTGTGCATCTGCACCAGAGTTCAGTACTGTCAGTTGGTGTGACAGATTTACTCCTTTGCATCAGATGTGATCCTTCGTTTCAAAATCCCAAGGACACACTGGTGGAAGCAAAAAATAAAACAAAGCTGATAGAGGCCGATGAGCAGCTGCACATGAGCAGTCTTTTTATGGCCCTTGCAATACTTGCGGTTCCTCTGCAGGTTCCCCCCAGCTTGTTCAATAAAGGCAGACTAGTTAATTTTCCATCAATGTTTAAATTTTTATTTCCTTTGGAGGTGCAAAGTATTTACGTCCACTGCTGTACACACCTTATCTGAGGTTCGCTCTCCTGCCAGTAACTAATACTGTGTTCAGCAAATATTATCAAAATTTGAAGATTACTTACATTACACCTCAGTGCTGTACAGAACAGATAGTTCTATTGTTTCCCCTTCATTGAGCAATACTTAAATAGAGGAATTTGGGGTGGGCAAAAGTTAATTTTCTTTAAGCAAGCAAACGTGGCTCCTATAAGTGGAAATAAATATTTCTGTTAATATGCTCAGAGGCATTTTCCATCATCCCCTTTAATCAACTTCCAAAATACGCTCAGCAGAGAACATCAGATTGGATCCAATTTCTGCTATATCACAGGGAACAAAAGGCTCCAGCAGACACACATCTTTCCAAAACACTTCTATTCCACGGCTCTGCCTCCATTTTGGATGACAGACAAAGGGGATAAATGTGAATATAACGCCTTGTAGAAGAGATGAAAAGCACAACCGAAGTCGGAGCAGAAGGTGCAGATAAACCCAGGAAGTGCTGCTGCCAGCTGCAACCACCACAGGAACAAAGGAAACGGCGACAGAGCCCGCTGGCTTGAATTTGTTATAAAAATAAAATTTGAGGAGGGGAGAAAAAAGAAAATTGGCCGGGGGTTTCACACGGAGCGGGCCACGAGGGTTCACTCTGCCCTTTAAGGGTTTCTCCAGGGACTGTTCAGCACTAGAGGCTTCCACTCGCTCCCAGCCCGGCCGTGGGATGCTGAGGGTTCCCGGTGGCACCAGGAGCCGGAACCCCTCACCCCCCAGCCCTGACCCCTCATCCCGGGGGTGCAGTGACAGCCCCCCCCGCTTCCCTCTAAGCCACGGGCCTCAGGCCTAAGGAAAGAACCCACGAGGATCCCCAAGTTCACCGAACACAAAAGCGGCCCCGACTCCCCACGCGTGGCTCGGCTCGGGTCCGCTCGGGGGGTCCCCGCCGAGGGGCGACGCCCGGGCCGCGCCCCCGCCCCTCACGGCGGCCTCGGGCTCCCGGCGCGGTGCCCCCGCCCGGCCCCGCCGGGGCTTTCCCGCGGCCGTGCCCCGCTCCGGGCGGTACCTGTAGGCCAGGGACATGCACTCGAACAGCTTCGTGAGGGACGCGTCGATGCTGAGGCGGCCGCCGGCGCCGCCGCCGCCGCGGGCCGCCCCGAACTGGTAGGTCTGGCAGGTCTGCTCGTTGACCGTGTCGAAGTCGTAGCCCTTCTTGGGCGGGTGTTCGCTGTGCGGCGACGAGACCATGAAGTGCCCCGAGTGGATGATCTGCGGGCCCGGGGGCTGCCCCCGGCGCGGCCCGCACCGCCGCCCCCCGCCCGGCGAGGCCCCGCCATCGTCCGTGTCCGACGAGTCCTCGTCGGGCTCGGTGCGGGGGGACAGCGGCCCCGCCGCCCCGAGGAGCCGCGCCGGCCGCATGAACACGTCGGCGGCCATGGCCCCGCTGCCGCCCGGCCGAGCCCGCCGCCCGCTCTGCGCCGCCACCGCCCCGCTCCGCCCCGGCCCGGCCCCCGCCGCGCTTAAAGGAGACGGAGCGGCCCCGCCGCCACCGCCCTTCCCCTCAGCCCCCGCCCCGCCTGAGGGGACCCACCCGCGTCACTTCACCCACCCGGCTCATCCTCACCCACCCCGGTCAGCGTCACCCACCCGGGTCATTGTCACGCACCCCCGTCATCATCACCTCCACCGAGGCCCACTAGGGAACCCCCCCCCCCTTCCTTCTGTGGTTCCACCGGGATCACCAAAAAAAGCAGAAAGTATTGGTGCTGCTGCGCTGTCCCCGCTGCGGTTGTTGTTTTGAAATGTTTAATTTTTTTTATTTTTTTTTTCTTTGTGGTTAGGATAGCCCCAGTCAGAACGCCATGCTGGGAGATGGCAGTTAATGCTTGGTTTAATTAAGCCCTAATTAATTTAACCCTGACCCTAACCCCGCTCCTGCTGAGGATAACTGGTATAAATGAGCCAGCAGGGCAATTCATCCGGGAGGTCAAGGAGTTTAAAAAAAAAAATTCCCATAAACAAAAACACAAGAAATTTCACCTCAACATGGGGGAGAACTTTCCGTAGAGGTAGCAGAGCACTGGAACAGCTGCCCAGGGAGGGTGTGGAGTTTCCCTCTCTGGAGACATTCCAAACCCATCTGGACATGTTCCTGTGCCATTTGCTCCAGGTGACCCTGCCTGGGCTGGGGGATTGGACTGCACGATCTCCAGAGGTCCCTTCCATCCCTAATGATTCTGTGATTCTGAAAAACATCCCTAAACTTAAGGGATTGTGAGGAACATGGAAATATAGAATAGCTCAGAACTGGCTGAAGAATGTTAACAAGATAGCAATTGTGCTAGAAATACCTAATTTAAACTGTCTTTAACACACTATATTGCTTATTATTTTCCAGAAGCCATGGCACCTGGAGAAGCTGGAGACCTGCAGCAAGCGCTGCTGGAGTCACAGGGAGGGCAGGACATGGAGCTTCTCCTGCCAGGCTGGTGGCTCAACCCCCCATGGTACCTGCTCGGTGGCACCTGTGAAGGAACCACAATTGTTCCAGGGGAAGGAAAGATCAGATTTCATCCTTCTCAAAAGCATAAAGGAACAATGGATCCTGTAGGTCAACATGAAAGCACAGCAATAGGGCTGGTGTGGGGAGAGAGCAGCATCCTACATACAGCACAAATCCCCATACATGTACCTATGTGTACACAAAGTCAAGAGGAAAGGCCTTGAGTGTGCCCTGTAGAGCAAACCCCCATCACCAGGACAGCAATCCTGCATGCCATACTCCAAAGCACTGATACTAAATTGTGAATATTATTTCAGTTTTAGGACCTCATACTTAAAATGAAAAAACAGGCTTGTCTACACAGTCATGCTCAGGAGGGGAAAAACCTCCAAATGTTAAATTGCCAAATGCTACTTCCTCTGCTTTGTAAAACCAGAAATAATATCAAGGGAAGCTCAAGAGACTGAGAGCAAGTCTTGGGCATGCAAAGAGGAGCATTCCCACAGTATCCCAATTACGCCCATGCAATGATCCAGCGTTCCCCATTAGCATGAGATCAAGGCTGATCACTGTGTTTAGGGGAGGAGTGGTAGGTCAAACACTCCTCCACACACGAGAGCAGCAGGAAGGCAAGGCCACATCATGCAAGGGCTCTCTTAGAGATGTTTAAAAACCAAAACCAACATTCAGTTCTTACTTAGCATCACCTACCTCTCAAATTCTGAAGGCCAGTCATATTTAGCTTCAAAGCTGGTTATTGCTACCTTATATTAATATTTGCTTAAAAAAAAAAAAAAGAAAAAAAATGCTATCTCTCAGCAAGGCATTCTGACTGAGTATAAAAGAAACAAAACGTTTCAAAACAACATTTGCAGTTTTACAGTACCTATTTTAAGTCTTCCATATAGTTCAAGAACTAAACCAGAACTAAAAAAAATCATGACACCTCAGCAACAGCACTGTATAAACACTTCCATGACAACAGCCTGTACATTTACCTCAGTAAATTCTAAGCAAGCCACACAGGCTTCATCCTGTAGGAAAAGAGGGATAATTTGTCAACATGAATTTAGGTAACAATGCAATTTTCTAGGAAGAGTAGCACTACATCACTTAAAGCAGAGGCAGCAGCCTTTAGCTACAACTAACATTTGATAAAGTTCAAGTCCTCTAGTCAGGTGCAAAGATAGGGACATCCCTTAAAATAAATCCAGTTATTTTGGAGACAGATCTCTTGGTTTGCCTTACAATGAGCATTTAGCCGATCAGTACCAGGTCAAGCCTGCCTGTTCTCCACTCCTCCTCCACAGTAAGGAATTCCAGGAGGCACAAGGAAACCCTAGGAGGGCCCCAGCAGCATCTTTGGAGTATGTTTTTTCTGTTTCTTTTCATCAATCCCCAGTGAGAGGTGAAACACAGGCCGCTGTCTTCTGATGGTGTTCCTTCAACAAGGAACATCAATTGCTTGAACAAGGCTTTTAGCACAGGAGGAGGACTTAGCACTGCACTGCAGCACACACTGAGCAGAGACATTCAAGCTGTTTAAAGACATACCCACAGTGTATTCCACACCACTTAGTGGTGAGAGATTATCCTCCTAAATCTCCAGACAGGAAGATAAGCATTCCCATACTGATGAGGGACAGAGCTCAGGGAAGCTTCCTCCCAGCCTCAGACAGGGCTGGCTGCAGGCTCCGAGTCCAGCCGTGCCACCGGCTCTGCTGCCCGTCCTGCTCCCAGGAAAACCCTGGGGACAGCCTGTGTGTGCCCTGCTCCAGGCTCCTGCTGTTCCTTCACCCTTCCCTGGCACAAACCTTACCTGTTCAGAGGCCTTTCCTCCGGGGACCCATCTTGAGTTACATCCTTGCTGCTACCTGTGTTCTCTCTCTCCAGTTCCACCCTGTATGTAACTCTTTTATATAAAGTCTGTTGGTTCAATTCACTGATCTGGAGGAATTAAAAAACCATCTACACTGTGGTTTCTTTCCCAGGTTAGTGAACCGTAGGGGTTAACGGGAATGTTATGAGCACCCCAGCAAATGCAAGGGAGGGAACAGGCGGGCTGGGCTTGCCCCTCTGGGAGCAGCGAGCCAGCAGGGCAGACCAGCTGCCCGTGGAACCACAGGCCACTTTGGGACAGAGCACATAGAACACTAAAAATAAGCTGGACACTTTATATCCACCTTGAATGTAAAGAATCTTTCCAAAACTCCTCAGGAGTTTCACCCTTGCAAGCATCAGACTCGAGCTTGTTTCCAAACTGAAGCACATTTCCACTCTCTGGGCTCTCTCCTCCCTCCAGTTTAAGTTACTGCAGCACATTAACCGAGTACCAAATGAGGAATTTGGAACTTAAATTACCTTAAATTACCAAATTACTCAGCAGGTTGCTGTAATTACATAGGCCATATCTATTCTGTCTGTTGTTCTTACAACCACCACCTGCCCCACCACGCTATCAAGACACCTTTGGACTGCTCAAAGGTGAATCATTTTAAACATTACCAAACAAGACACCACCGTAAATGAACATTTAAAAATGCCATTTATAAAAACAGAAATTTCTTGTAAATTAAAAAGAAACAAGCAAAACAAAAAACAGACTAAGTTTCTTGATAAAAATTATTCACACAGCATTCGTGTTGTGATTTTTTATTTTATTTTTTTGAAATGAAACCATTGTACATTGTACAAACCATAACTACCGATGGAATAAATAAGTGAAAAATTATACTGCTGTACAACACACACACACACAAATCATAAGATGGAAAACGATTAGGTATTGAAGAAAACAAAATTCTTTACACCTTCTAACAGGCCCTTAGATATAAAGAACATTCCAAAACATGACAATGTTTATGTATGAAGATAGCCACCCAAAACCGATATTTTATACTGCCTTGTTGATTTTTTATTTTTTATTATTTTTTTTTGTTGTTTTGTAAGTGCCAGCACTTTTTGGAATGTTTTAACAACTACTTTCCCAAGCATAAAAATTCCAAGGAATACTTCTGCTATAAAATGTTTGGCTGAGTAAATCGCTTATCCCGGAAGGCCTTCCCACATGTTCCACAAACTCAGCTAAGTTACTTGCTTGCTTCTAGTTTCCTTTTTTTTTTTTTTTTTGTCTTTTTAGGTTTTTTTATTTAGTTATCTGTAACTGAAGCTCCAACATTCAGCATTGTAGCAAGGAAGCACTTCTTGATATTTGCACTATTTCTAAAACATCAGCTGTATGAGAACTTTCAGTCATCTTGAAGAAAATTACATCTCTCCTCCTGCTCCACCTCTCAATGCTTTCAATAAACCCTTTTACAGTGAGTTCATAAAACAAGTTTCGGGTAGAGATAGGTCCAAGCCAAAACCAGCTGGATTTAGATCTGGTTTCAAACCTCAGGTGGATTTGAATTCCATATTCTGGTTTGGTCCCATCTGTACTTTCTGGCATTAAAATGTGTTTAATCACATCCGTTGGCCCATAAATGTTATCAGGCACTTCAAAAAAAGACTAATAACAGTCTTATACACTATTTTGGATTTCTTCATACCAGATAATGTCAAAGTCTCTTCCCTCAGAGACTGACAATAACAGGTCTAAGGAACCCAAATCTATCTGCTTGTTCAGTTGTCTGTTGTCACTAGAATCTCTGGTTAAAATAAAAGATCTGAATGTATTCTGTGTAAGCTGTAAATAAAGGATTCCTACCTCAGAAATAAAGCCTCTAGGAAGATGGTTATGATGCCTTGTCTTGTAAGCCACAGAACACTGAACAGTTCTGAGCAGAAGCCACAGGAGAGAAAAGGAAGTTTATAATTAAACCTGTTGATGTCAATAATGCCAATAAATGCTTCTATCTAATGAAAAATTTGAGGTATTTTTTAGTGCTATTTATATATTTTATTTCTTCCTAAAGTACAGGAATTAGTTCCTAAATGAAAAGTCTATTTACTCCCTTGGAAACGTCTACAAAATGAAAATTAAAAACTTGCTGCGATGCACCTGAAGAGAGGGATTAGTAAACACGACTACTTGTCAAAGGTGGCATCAGATTTGTTTTGTTTTAGCATTAAAAACAACGAAAAGTTAGTAAATCAAAAAAATACTTTAAAAGTTTGAATCTTTCTAGATTTGCCCATTTAATATATCAATAGAACTTCTCACAAAATATCACTTAAATCTGAAGGTAATATACATACAAATCAATCGTCATGGACCAGTTATCCACATTTTAGGCATACACACAATTCAAGAGAGAATTCTACCGTTTCATTGCATATATTGTGCAAATTCAGTTTTTGGCTCCTCATTTCCTTATTTTCAGGATGTTAATGGACTTCATGATCAGACCAGAAATCCCAAAAGCCTATTAGGGAGCACGCTGTTTTCAGGAATGATTTGCAATCCGGTTTTATTCGGTTAAAAATCCAAAAAGTTTTATTTCAACAGAAAGGAAAAGTTCCGAAACTGAGCGTCATAGGTTACGTGGAGTTCAGTCCTACAAACATCTTCCCGAAGGTCAGTATTGGCTCCCCGCTCCTCCCTCCCCCTGCTCCCTCCCCCCAATTCCTCATTGCTTTTCCTAATAAAGTGGTAATTGCGAACGTAATGCAGTAGTCTAAGTGCAAGCCATTTTCACTATTGGAGAATCCCGACCTAAATTAAGCTTCATGAAGAGAGCTAATTATGAAAATGTATCGACTGGAAGCGATTTCATCCTTTTCACCTTAAAAAAGTATTTACAGTTTTATTCAGCTTACAAACGACACGCAACCATTTCCAGAGCAGTGAGATCGTAGTTTAAATTACAGGTTCCATCTCCCACGCCAAGTGAGGACAGAGTGAGGGCCTGATTCTGCAGTATGGACGTATGGATGGATGTGTGTATGTGTGTGTGTGTGTGTGTGTGTGTGTGTGTGCACGGAAGCGGGAAAGGAGCGGTTCCACCGACACCGGGGGTTTATTCCCTGGAAGTACAAAGCCCACTGGAAGACCAGACCCTTGGGACCTGACGCAGATGGTTCTGCTCGCCACGAATTTGAAGGGAGTTGCACCTACCTCGTGCCTTTCCACCAAGTTTAGCATAAGCACACTTGAGTGGGGAGAGAAGGAACATTTCTAACTGATGTGGGGACTGTGGAGACAACAAGGCTTATTTACAAGACTTGCTGAAAGAGAGAAGGAAACCCCCAATACAGTAATTTCCTGGAACACAGAAGTAAACATCTCACAATGAAACAGTACAGTGAAATCCAGTTCAGTGAAAACATGATATCAAAAAAGACCAATTGAAAATAAAACTGACTGTGCATCAATCCCTTTGATCCTATTTATGTACATAGTGGAACTTTGCTGTAAAGTTGTACCCAGTACAGAGATCTGGACCTAATACGTAAGTATTTTAAGTGCCTGTGTTATAGTAAATATTCAGATCTGGACTATAAATGGTAAACAGATCATGTTAACTTCTGATGAAGTTAAGTATTTAGAAGACCAAATTTACAGTTGCGAATGCCATGCATTCAATAAAAGATCTCCACTATAGCTGCTAAAATAAAACATCAAGCTCCTTTTTCTCCTTGGACTCCAAGAGTGAAAATGGCTTCCTGATCTGTAGTTGTTTAAAAATTTAAGCACCAGGGATTTAAAACTTAAAAACGAAAGAAAAAAAAAACCCCAAACAAAACAAACAAAAAAGAAAAAAAAAAAAAAGAAAGAAAAAAAGGAAAAAAAAAAGCCTTTCTACATGGCATTATACAAACATAGGCCACTTTGCAAAGGAGACAGTTGCAAAACAACTTTTAAAAGTTAGCACTGTTTTCAGAACACAAGGCACAAAACAAAAGCAGACATCACGCCAGAACAATGAACTTCACATGAAAGCTAATACCTGACCTGTACCATCCTTAAATATCTTACAATGTTAAATAGAGAAATGAAAAAAAAAAAAAATACAGCAGCAACATAATTGTAATTTTGACTTTAGAAACAGTGCGTAGACCCCTCCTGAGTTGTTTACTCCAACCATTTCAGAGACAGTAACTTAAAAGTTCTCAATGTTTGTTTCACAGGAAAAAGTTTTCAGTGTCTGAGAAGTTAAACCTTTGTTAGGCTTTCTTGGATTTTTGCTTGGTAACTTGAAAAGTTAGGAGTTCTGTCCTCATCCAAGAGAAGATGCTTAAGTAAGGTTGTTCTATAATTAAGCCCACTGATGTACCTTACATAAAATCTGACCAGAAAGATCTATAGTCTAAATCTCTTCAACATTTTGTTGGGAAGCCTCTACTTTCATCTTTTTAGAAGGTGGCACTCCTTCAGAGTCCTTAATGAGGGGGGAAAAGAAAAACAGCCACGTTATCATTGCACCGAAGTTGAGGAACCGTAAACATCAAACAAACAGCCCGAAAATGTCCCGTGTGACAGCCAAAGCATCCCTGGATGCCAGAACAACACTCCCAAGTGCATCTGCTTCCTGAAATCACTCCTCTACTTACATCTCACCTCCACATCTTTACACTTGTTGTCGTCTACAAAGGGCAAAAATTCTAGTTCCGGGCTAAAAACCACAGGGAATATTCCGTGGAATGCAGGGTTATCCCTGCACCAAGCACACAGGGATCTCCTCCTGCTGCAGCCACAGCAACCTCTACAGGATAGAACAGGCAGGTTTGGGAAGTGCCAGGTGTGCACTGGAACAAACCACTGACCCCCAGGAGAACCAGTGGATGAGGATCTGGAGTTGTCCTGCCCTGAGAAGGGCACACCTGAAAGGATAATTTCTTTCTCCCACCTATCCAGAATTTTTCAGTGTATCAGCAAGTAAATATCCAAACATCTCATCCACTGTATCTATAAAAATTAACTTTCCTAACTGCCTATGCATTTACCTTTATAGAAGGCATTTTACCTCTGAATGGTCCTCAAAGGGGCCCGTTCAGTAGGTTTGGTCCAAGCAATTTATCAACGTAAAATTTTATTCCATTACAAAACACAGACTGGCTTTTAATAACCAAAAAATCAATCAGACCAATCTGGTCTTACTGTTCCAATTATGTGAAATTCAAGCAGCCAGTCACCTTTGGAAATTATTCTAAACACACAACTGGCCTCCTTATATTTCTTTTTTTACTAAAAATACTCTTTTCCAAAATCCAAGTAATTGGGCTTTTGCACTTTTAAGTTACCTGAGAGTTTTTAGATGCCTCTGTAATTATATCATTTTCTCCAGAGGACTGAATTTCTGCTTTCTCTGAACTATTCATGGAATTTTCCATTGAAGACTGTGAATTCTGTTCATCAGAGGTATCTGAAATGTCAAGAAACAATTTTAAGCAAACAAATGAAAGCGTTCAGCAGGAGCTTTTGGGATGTCTTCCCATCAGCAGCCTCCCAAGCACACGCACTTCACCCACATGTAATGGTTAATGATCTCGTACATAACAACTGTGTGAACATCGTGAATTAAGCTCCAAGTGCAGGATCACAACCCGGCTGCTGTCACAGCTTCTCCTCCCCAGTGGCGGCAGCAGAGCCCTGGGATCAGACCCTAGAGGGAGCCAGAATCCCACACACCCTCACCCTGCCAGCAGCCAAGTCTCAACACAAACTGACTGCAAACAAACTTCCCCCAAAGCAGAAGGAAAAGGCTGCTGCAGCAAGGGCTCAGCTGTGGTAACTAATGGGTCTAAAACCGTGTGGCTACAGAGAGAATAAAATTACCTGAATCAAAATTCACCATATAATTAAAATCCACTTTTTTGCTCGATGCTACTTTTAAGATAGAATTTAGAAATTCAGCTAACTAGCTTCACCATTAAGGTTAAAGAATTTTTAATTTTGGTGCATAGCTGTGGAGAAGTCTTCCAGCCTGTTATAGCTGTTCCTGCTTTCAATTTTCATCGGGATTTTTTTATTCTTGGGTTTTGTTTTGGTTTGGGCTTTTTAGTTTTTTAGTTGTTTTTTTAAACCCTTCTCTCTCTCAAAACATGACTTACAGAAGACTCAAGGTTAAAGCATCCATTCACTCAAAAGAGAGGCCAGAGGCACTTTAAATGTCTTCACAGGTTAAAGATCCCTGGAAGTTAACAAAGTGTGTCCAGAAGCAGGGAATCAACAAAAAAACCCACCACCCAAACCCCTCTGACTGTAAAAGATCAGTTATAGTTCCTCCAGTATCCACTTCAGGAACAGTTTAAGGACCCTATTCTTTCCTTCACCTCATTTAAAAATCCTTTTTGACTCAGATTCTCACAAGTGTGGGTGAAGTCTTATGTAGCGATCCCTCCGTAGATCCCTGACCCAAGAAACTTGAAGTTATTCCACATGAAGAGAAATACAAGATCAAACCAATTCTGGACAGCTCTGGTTAACAAAGATGACACAACCAGTGAGTGATGGATATTTCTGTGACACACTGGATAAAAAGCATTTCAGAGTTCGAGATAAAGCGATGCCCATGATGAGCATCTCAAAGATCACACTCCACAAACTCGCTCAGGATCCTCTTCCTGTCCACGTCTCACCCGAAAATCATCTCCATGCTGACAGAGAAACAAGTCCCAAGGGTCAGAAGACATTTCAATTTGAATTTTTGCTGTGCCTGCCTCAGCAGACACCGAGCTGAGGAGCTCTGCCATGTGCCCATCTCCCCACAGCAGACTCCTCGTGGCCGCTGTTCTCTTCCAGGTGCCTCTGATACACTCAGGCTGCTGCTGACCCTTTGGGCAAGGGGACTTATGTTTTAACCAGCCAAGTCCCAATGCCTGCAGTGAATTGTTCACACAGCAAACTGATTTGAGTGCACCTCTTTTGTTTAAGAAGTCCTCCTTGGGCATTTCTGCCCACCTAAACTCTCCCCTGGCTTGAAAGAACCTCCCTTATTTCAGTGGAGCAACGTGCAGGGTCCTTAACCCTGTCCAGCTGAATAATGTCACAATTCCAGGGCTCTGACTGATCCCTTTGGTAGATAAATGTTTACTAAATTGTATAACACAGCAAATAACCAACAGAAAAAAACCCACATTACCAACAGGTCTTTTTTGCCATCATATCTCCCTTTCCTTTCACAGTAACTGGCTCTGGAGCTAATCCAGAGGACTTGGTGTGATTTTTCCCTCAACCTAAATTTAGCCAGGGGAGCTTTGTAACAACTTCCCATCACCAGGTTCAGACAGTGTTACTCCTGGGGGTAAATCCTTACCATTTAATGTGGTCAAATATGCAAGCTGGGATTTTCTTTGAAGGAAATGGTGCTCTGATTTATTTCAATGTGGTGACAGTTCTGTTGTCAAATTTTAACCCCAGTTAACAATGACAATATTTAACATACTTCACCACCGGCATTACCCAGATAAAGGCTCTAAATTTAAACTGGTCATTGGATCTACTGAGTGAAGAACTAAATCAGGAGGGTATAATTTAATTGCTTTGCTATGGGAAGAATTCTGCAACCAAATCATTAGAATGGTGTTAAGGACATCTTTTATCTGCTATAATAGGACGAAGGAAGTTATCTTCCCAGCAATATAAACACAGAGCACTTTTCAATTACCCAAAATACCATTTAAAGAGTGAGGTTCAGAACAATCTCTTAACCCACATGTATTTTTAATCTGTGCACAACTGCAGTTAAAATCTTGTAACGCTCTGAGGAAATTAGGACAGAATTCAGAGCTTACTTTTGAATAACTAATTAGCAGGGTTAAGAGAAAAGAAAGCTTACATTATAGTTTAGACAATTTAAAAAAATAACTTCAAATTATCTCACCTCTATTTCACTTTCTCACTAGATAACAAACATTCACAGACCTACACAAAGTAATACCCTCCAGGGTTTGTGTGATTACATGGTAGCAGCCATTTCAAAGATGAAAAATTCTTTCATTTATAAATTATTTCTTCTTTCAAGGCTGAGATTATGACAACAATAAACCAAGTATTTTGTCTCTCTCTGAAAAGACCCTGAATGTCAACGTGACCTTTCCAGCTGTATGAAGGATCACCAGGAAGTCAGAGAGACTGTGGCCCATTTTCACATAAATGCTGAGAATTCAGCAACCATCTCTTTCAAACTGTTGGTTTTTTGCAGTTCTTAAAGTGGATAATCAAATAAATGACACTCTAAAGGATAACATTTCTTTGTTTGGCTTTGAAGGTGGCCTTCCCAGCTTACCTTCTGAGCCAGGCTGCTCCTTTGCCTCTGCCTGAGTTTCGTCAGATTTGACTTCAGTGCCGTCTGCTTGTGTTGCCAAGTTCTGCTCTGGTGCTGGACTTGAATTACTACTGTTTTCCTGTTTTATTGGAGAAGCATCAGCTATTGAACTCTGGTTGCTATTGTCATCTGTTAACAAAAGAGTGACAAACAACCAAGTTTAATGTGACAAGACACAAAGCAAACCTTAATTCCCCCGTATTTTTCCTGTGTTATTCCCTGGTAACACATGACATAATTTAGCTCATTAGGGATCAAGTCCAAGCATTCAGACTAACACTACATTTAACTTTTTTCCACACCAGCCTAAGGAGTTATCTAGCAGTTGCTAAAAATCAGAAAACTTCAAATCCCACGTTCTAACTAATTTTATACATCAAAACCAAGAGTGTTTTACTCAGCTCTTATCCAAAAGAACCCAGAGTTTTGCAGTATGAATAAACCAGACAGACTGAAGTGACAGTCTCATTAAGGGCTAATTAACTGTTCATGCTGCAGATTTACAAATACCCATCACTCCACTGTTCAGATGAGCAGATGTTTTTGAAGTGTGTCCTGAAGGTCAAAAAAAAAAACCAAACCAACCCCCCTTAAAAAAACCTCCATCAAGATAAAACGTAACATCCAGTCCCAATATCAATAGTTCCTAAGTAATAATTGTCCAGGATATTCCCAAGCCCTCAAAGACCTGAATCACAGTTTCTGCAGCACAGATATTGTCTCTGCAGTCAGAAATGAGATTAAGTTTATCATGCAATTGTACAGCATGGCTTAGAAACATAAATGATATGATAAAAAAGCAAGTAGTACATTCACCTTGTGGATGGGAGCAACAAGACTTAAAAAAATTAAATGAGTTGACCAATGCAAAAAGCCCAGAAGTTTGAAACAGATGAAAAATTAATCCAGATCTGTGAAAATCCTGCTCAATCCTCTAATAGCAAGACCACACTTGCTGTGAACACTGCAAAAACCAACCAGGAGGCAACAGAAATGCAAATAAAACCGAAATGGAAAATTTACAACCCACTAAAGAGTGATCCCCTCTTATCAGCTCAAATAGTGTTGCTTTCTCAGCCATAATTGTTATCCAAACACCCAGAAGGTAAAAACTTGAAACAGAGCTGAGCTGCGCGAACTCCTCTCTAATAAACACCAGGTAAACACTCAGCAGTCACACTTCAAAAAAAAAATTAAAATAAAATAAAATTGACCTTATAGTGCCTGACTGGCAAGCCAAAAAATATTTCCTTAAGCAGGCAATTTCATCAGGCTGAAGGAGAAGGAAGACAACACAGAGCCACAGCTTGTTTTCTTGGCCCTTGCAGAATTCCTTCGACCTTAACCAGTCACAGAGTTAATAAGTACAAAACCTGCACAAACTGCAGGAGGTACCACTGAGGCTTTGGGGGTCTCTGGGTTCTTCAAGCAGCAAACTCGACAGAGTTACTACTTCACCTCAGTGTAGTATTTGGAACATTAGATATTTCTAATTTTCTGTTTAGCTCCACTAACAGTTTTTTTCCCCCACACTCCAAGCCCAAATAAAAATGTCATTTAAAAAACTGTTAGTACATCCACAGAAGAGAAGTCCAAGGTACCAAATAAGCATCTGATGCTGTTTTCCCTTTGGCTCCATCACACTGTCCATGCACTGGAGCAAGGTTGGATCTGATGTTGTTGGCAGTGCAGGAGGGGAATTGGGGCCGACCTTCTCCCACTCACCGTGCATGTCCATCATCCCTGGGGAGGAGCTGTTCTCTGGAGTGGTCACTTCAGAGCCACATTTTTCATCTTTGCCCTTTTTCTTATTCTTATTTTTCTGAAAAACAAAAGGCATCACGTTCAAATGAGGTACCACCACCTCCAGGAAGAGAAATCCATGTTGCAGCATAAAACCCTCATCACTCATTACTTCCATAAGCACCTCTTAATTTCAAGTGAGAAATAAAGCCAGTGTGATAATAACTGCCATTATCAATAATGCATTAGTCCCAATAACTGCAGGGCTGTTTTTCCATTTGTATTTTTCCTGACACAGAGCACCAGGATTTATGGGCTTTTATCCAGGAATTCTAAGAACAGCACTAAACATGATCTTAAAGCTCTTTTCTAACCTGAACGTTTCTGGGATTCTGTTCTTCACCTTCAAACTGCACCATTTCTGTAAAAAGCACAGAAGTTCTCAGAAACCCTCCTGGTTCTACACCCAGGAATCTGAGGCACAGTGATTAAAGGGTTTGCTGCAACAGACTCTGAGAACTTGGCAGGTGCTGTTGCCAACTCTGTACTCAGCCCTGAGAGCTACAGAGGCAAGGTCAAAGGAATCTCTGCCACACCAGGAACAGGCAGTGATATTGCTGATCAGAGGCAGGGCTGAGATCCACCAAAACACCCCATTTCTGAGTGGCTTATGTCTATCAACACACCACTACCCAACCCACTACACTGTCCCTTTCCTCTCAGGAACCTTCAAGAGCACACCAAGACACCGTTTACCAGAGGAATGACAAAGATCATCAATTTTACACTCAAGAGACAGCTTTTTACCACCTCCTCAAGGGCTGCAGAGACCTCCTCCTTCCCTACAACCAATGCTGCTTCTTCATCCTAACTAAAAGATGGATCAAGAAAAGTCAGGCTGGCCTAAAACAAAGAGCACAAGCACAAGAGCCCTGCGTGAGCAGCAGGTGCCAACCTGCTCAGGACTGACAGGGCACTACAACAAAGGGAGAGCCCGTGGATCCGTCACGTGGGAATCTGCGGCATTTCCAATGAGGAGGTGACGTCATCAGCCTCCCAGGAGAAAGAGCAGCTGCACTGCTTTTGGAGGATCCTGCTGCCTGCTGAGGACACAATGGGAAGCCTGACTCCAGGAAGAACACTCTCAACCCATCCTTTTGGACAGAGAGAGTCTTACAGCAGGGGAAGGAACTAAACCACAATCAAACATTGTCTGAGACCGCAGAAGAAATTCAACAAGTGGTATCTGGGAAGGACTTTTGTCTTTCTTTTAAACAGATTATTTAGGTTATTTCTAAACTGTATTTTTACTTCAGAGAAGCCAGACTTTACTCCCTAACAGAGGTGAGAGTAAGTACACGGACTTCTTTACCTTTGCAAAATGAAAGTTCAGAGGGGTCATAATCTCTCTCAGGTTTGGTTTTGCTATTTTTTTAAAGGCAATAAAGACCCTTTTGCCACAAAAGAAATACTGAAAATGACAGCAAGCAATTTAAGCTGAAAAGTGCTTTACAAAGGTTTCACCATCAAAGTGATGAGGCTCTAAAACAGCCTTCCAGACCCAACAAGAGGAAAAGAGCCCAGCTAATTGTAGTTCAGAGAAATGTCAGAGTGTCTTTGGAACAACACATGAGGGGGGAAGAAATCTAATCACTGTTCACTAAAATCAAAGACAACTTCCATTTGACAAAAGGAAAGGTCCCATTCTCCTACTCTAGTGAAAAGCAAAGACACCATCTGCTCCTTCCCAGTGGGTGAAATTGGATATAAAGGGATGCCCACAACAAAATCAAATAGCCAGGATTAGCCCTGCCTGGTATTTATTTGTAAAATACATGCACTTGTTTTATTTGTGAGAACTTCCAGAGCAAGAAGACAGAAACCTTGTGACATCAACGCTGCAACAACTGCAGCATGAAAAGAGTGTGACTGTAGGACACCAAAGTAACTGGTCTTGAACAAGTGTCCCAATTTCAGCAAATCTGGAGCCTCAACCTACAGATGATGGCTCAGAAAACACAATTAAACTCTGCACAGAGACCATTATAAAAACCCATTCTTCATAACAGGGAATCTGACTTCAGGTACCAGTGACCTTGAAAACTCATCCAGAAGCTGACTTAGAAATTCTATTTCCAAGTCCCACAGCACCCATCCTGCAGGAACACCTTCACTGCAGGAAAATGATCTTCAGAAGCCATGAACCTAAATATCCTAAACCTTACACTCTCTCTCTCTCACAGGGATAGCACACTTCTCCCCCCATCCCAATTATTATAAATAAAAAAAAAATCCAGACCAAACATTTGACAACTAGAAAGAATGAAGAGATTTCTCTAAAGAAAGTTTCCCAACTCCTAAGGGGTTACTTCACAGAGATGCTGCTCAAGCACTGGAAGAACCCAAGAGGTTTCCCACAACTCTGACAGTCACTGATATATGTGGGACAACCAAAGGCACAGGAAGAAACAAAGTGAAAGCACGTGAAGCCCAAGCAAGGAGCACCAAACTTAGCACATATATTCTATTGTATCATTATTTTACTGTGATATCATGGATTAGTTTTCCATTACAATATTTCAACTTTTAAAAAAAGCAGTGTTTTGAAAATCCATTTGTAAGTCCCACCCACTCTGATTTTTACAGCAATTTTTATGCCACACGAAGAGTGCACACTGAGAACACAAACATGATGCAAACACAGAACATTTATGAAGAGAAAACACACATTACAACACAAGTGTTTGCGCTGTATCATGTGGGCTGAACAGCTTGATACAAACTATCTCAGTTCCACAGGGTTTTCCTGCCCTCACATCAGTGTTTTCACCTATTTTTGAGCAAAACAGAGAATACTCTGCCTGGTTCCAAACCACTTCTTTCCTCTAAAACATCAAGCAGAAGGAGGGAGAGTGGTCAATGTCTTAACTTTCCCTCCCCGCTTCCCAGTCGTTACATTAGAGAAAGGTTTAAAAAAATCAGTTTCAGGCTGAATATTTAACAGTTATCTGAGAACTGATCCCAGCTGACTCCAGGAAGACTCACCCACTGACCCATCAACATCACTTTCCATAGAGATCAACATCTCCCTGGAGCGTGCAAGACCCACACCAGCCTTAGCTTAAAGGCTCGGAGAAGATCAAGAATATTTCTTTGGATTTTCCCTAAACACAAAGGAACAAGCAGAGACTGCAGGATATACTTACATCATCGACCTTGGGCTCTGTTACTGGGACCCATTTGTAAATCCTTAGGGATGTGTCGCCAACTGTCACCCACTTCTTCTCCCTAGAAAATTACAATGCAGGAGAAGTTAAACTTCGAATTCAGAAGACAGTGATCTCCTATTGTAAGTTGTCAAAGATTTAAACAGGCTATTAAGTAGGATGATCTCTATTACATCGTCTTTAGCACTGCATTGTGCAAATTGTTCTTTGCATTTCACAAAGTTGTTAGAGCACTGCTACCCTCCAGATTTCTCAGGGCTGTTACTTGACTGGGTGAGTAACTGCAGTAGCAGTAATAAGCTCTGGATTAAAGGTACAGTTAAGAAAGAACAGCGATTGAAAATGCAGATTTAATGCCTACAATTTTCACTTCGGTTTCTAGAGAGCAGAAGAGGGTTTAGACAGACCAGTGTGTTTTGAAGCTGTTTACTGGCATCAGAAATCTAGCTGCATTTTGACCATCTGAGGTTTATTTTTGGGGCAGAAATTTGCTGCTGGCAGTTTAACATTCACTCCACGCCCCTGACAGACAGCTCTGCAATTCCAGCCGTAGGACCAACAGCCTCTCTGGAAGCAACGAGTGCTGTGATGCAGAATCCGGGCTCTGGGGAGCCCAGCTCCTTGGAAAAAAGCAAGGCTGAGGCTACCAGAGAGGGAAAAGCATAACCTGGAGCGCCGTGCAGGCCCTGCCAGCCGTGAATGGTGACACTGACAAATTGTGAAGGAAACGTGGCTGGAGGGCGGCACCACCTCGGGGGGTCAGAGCGGAGAGCGAAGGGACGCTCAGCACGGGGTGAGGGATGAACTCCCTGAGCTCTCCCCAGCAGGATATTAAGAGAAGGTCCACAATGCCAGAGAAATTTCATCCCGTGCCTGCGATCAGTTTTCAGGTCACAGATTCCCACTGCTGGTTCCTGGGTTTGCAAAGCAGCTCTGCAAACGGATCGATTGGAAGTTAACAACAAAGAGCGATTCCATTAAACATTCAGGAACATCTGAAATTAATTAGGCAGGAGATTAGAAGCGTTTTTGTTTTTTTTTTTTCCAAAAAAACCCCCTACATTTAAATCATAGATTTGGGATCCAGTTCAAGGTTAAAAAGATCTTTAAAAAAATGGTTTTTTGCAGGATGGGAGAAGCTGGATGTGACTCCAAATATCTATATCTATATATATGTATGTGATAGCTTCATTTTTAGAAAGGACCTCCAGAATCAAAAGCACCCACAAACATCCTCCTATTTTTTAGCTACTAAAGCCAATCTTTTATTTTCCCTTTAGAAGAGACATTGTCCTGTTTAATTTAAAAAAAAATATATATATATATATATACGACTATTTGATACATTTTGGATCTGTCTATAAGGAGATTTTAATTTAAGTCCAAAACTATTTGAGCTTTATTTCTTTCCCACTGCTCTTCCTGGAGTACAATTTCCCCTCATTTCATTTGGATACAACCATTTGGGTACACTAGGTGGCTAAAGTATGTCAAAATCCAATTTCACTCTAATTTGGAGCTCTACATGAGATAAAAATGACAGTGGAGATGAGGGCATGTCAGTAATGAGAACATACTTAATTGTGAAGAGATGACAATGACATAATTTGGGGTTTTTTTAAGGATACAATACAAACTAGGTTTACTTCTACTTAGGAAAACCTTTGAAATTATGGAAATAAAACCAGCTGGGGTTTTGTTTTGGGTGTGGGGAGAGGTGAATAAATGTTTTTTTAAAAAATCAAGGTTTTAGTCTTTTCCTACAGCAAAATATTACTTAGAGATGCTGCACTGGAAAACCAAAAGTTCAAGATACCTGTTAGCATCTCAAAGCAGCCTCACACAGCATCTTCACTGGACAGACTGTAGAACACAGGAGGAAACCTATATTAGTAACTTTTTCCTTCTAGTATTAAAGTTAGCCCTGACATTTTAACTCTTTTGAGCTTCTTAAGTACCACTTTAAGTTTTGGTAACCCTCAGCTACAGGGATTTTATTTAACTGAATTCAATACACAGTAATTCAGACAACAACGGGAAGAAGGATATTTTGTGATGGAAGTACACCAACATCCCAGTCCTGCAAACACTCAGGGCTGAAAACAAAACCCAACATCACACTGCTAGTACGCAAATATTTTACACCTGTGAGCATTTACGGTATTGAAGGTTTAAGATACATGAAAGTATCAGTAGGAAACCTCCTCTAAAATGCAATAAAATCCTCTGCAGCACAAACACAAATTTGTTAACAAAGAAACACAACGACTTTGAGAACTTGACATCAACAGGGTAAAATAACTCTAAGATTAAAGATGTTTATTGCAAATTAAGCTTGGAATATTATGTGTAATACTGCCTTTCCACTTCACAACAAACCCCAAAATCCAAACGAGCAAACAAAAAACCCCAAACCCACTTCTGCTCTGACCACTCTTTTTAATCTTTTGTGCAAAGACACCATCCCAGCCTGCTGGTCAGGGACTGCCCTTCTCATTCCCTGAGAACTGACAATTTACTGATGCTGCCCCATGGCAGCAAGTTTGGAAAATGCTGCACAAATCACAAAATACCCTCCCTGACCCAGCCCTGGAGTGGGGATGAGGAATTCCTGAGCTCCTGTGCCCAGCCTCCTGGGAGACTTTAAGCAGTTTCTCCCCATTTTCCTGGCTGTTGCACCCACTCATCCCGAGATCCTGAGCAGAATTCCACCTTTGGTAAGTGATCACCAGGCAAAATACGTTATCGCACCACCCTCTGTTATCCCATATAGGTTGGTCTCTATACTGACTGGTGGACTGGAAAAGGTGCCTAATGAAAATCCATCAACCTGACAGTTTATCAGGCTGAAAATGTGGCAATGATCAACTTTACTTGTCCATGTCTAGCTGATAAACTCTGCACCTTCACCAAAAAATACTCGTTTTGCCTGTTTTAATACCTCTCCCGTTCCTCCATGAATGACTCAGGAGCAACAACAAGAAAGTGGCAAAACTTAAAATATATACCAAAATGCTTTTTTCTTTTCATTTTCCACACTGAAAAGTATCTTCAATATTTTAGTCACAGTAAATCCAGAAACTAATCAGTGCAACAGAAACAAACCCTTACATTTATCTGAAACTGTGTTAAAGCATTTTTAAATTCTGAACTGTATCTGCACAGCATTTAAAGGACAGCCAAGGGTACATAGGGTAAGCATTAGTATCAACACTTCTTCAGTGCTGATGCCTGAGGCATACTAATATCCCAGAACTTACATCATTATACACTCAATTCCCCACTCTAAAGAGCCCAAGACTCTTAAATACATTTATATTTTGTTTAATAACACTGGAGCTCCACAGATGAGTATCAGATTCCACGTAGAAAAGTACTATATGGGTGAGCAAAGACAACAGTGTACGTTACACTTGCACAGAAAGTGTCGAGGCAGCTTCTGCAGCAGCAGGGAGTGCCAGAAACATTTGATGGCACAGACACAGAAACCCTTTACTGCCAATATATCACTCAAGGAAAGGCTTTCCCACTTGTCTGGCCTTTTCCTGTGGCTCTCATCCCTCACAGTGATCTGCATTTACACACGGATTTGCTCCCACATACCCCACCTTCTGCTGATGGTCACAAAGTGACGTCATAATGCTGAATTTATCACATCACACTCACTTGCATTGCAACAGAGTTTGGTGAAAATCACAGAATCATGACCTCCCTGTGGGACCAAGCAAAAGAGAGAGGGGAATGGGAAAGAAAATGCCATTGTTATACACGAGAAGTGCTGTGAGATGCACGACAACTGACTGCGTGAGGCGCAGGCTCGCCCTCCCGAGCACACCCACTGCTGTTGGGGATGTTTGCCTAGTGACTAACCTGAAGGAGCCCCAGACACACGTGGTGTTCATTGACCAGGCTGCAAACACAATAAAAAGCCATGCAGCATGACTGGACGAGGACAGGTGGCTACAGACACCTTCCCTCTGAGTTTCCCTGAACACGGCACATTTTGAGAGCCCCCTGCACCTTACCCGGGCCAGCATGTTTGAAAGCAAGCCCTGCTTGGTTCCACATGGCCACGAGCACCCTTCTAACAGTGGAGAGAACCATTTACACTTGCCAAAACTCTACCTTTAACCTCAGCTTCCACTAAAGTCAGAGAGCACATCCTGGTTCCGAGAGAAATAATCAAAGACAGAAAAAAAAGCTGCAGAATTCAAGCATCGTAACAGTGTGTTTGGGTCACTACAAAACTTCAGTACATTCCTGCACATACACTGGGTATTTTTACTTCAACTGCCACTACTTGAAACTAAAATCTTAGCAGGAAACCCAAAAGAGCCAACACAGCCAGGCTGAAGCAGGGCGGAGGTCCAGGAGTAGCAAACAGCCTTTTTCCAAAGACATCACATTAAGAAGTTCTATGTCATAACTCCTTTTCAGAGCAAAAGCCTATTTTAAGAAGGAAGCATGAGCAGCAAAACCTGCAGAAGCCCAATCTCTGAGCATTACATACCACAGGAAAACATTTTAGCAAGTCTGAATGGAGACAGTGAACAGAAGAGCTACAGCAGCACTGCCCAGAAATTCTAAGTAGCCACAGCCAGCGATCCCAACCACTGGCAGCAGGTAACGCAGCCAGGGGGGACTTCGCTCCTCAACTTTCTCCAAGTACTTTCTTTCATCAGTTGTCCAGGTTCACCTCCTCTTCCTAAGGTGCCACCACTACCCCCAGATTAGGGCTTTGATGGGTCAGAGAAAGGTCAAAGGATTCTGCAAAGACACTGCAATTCAAAGACAAGGCAGTGACATTTCCTCATTCCTGGTACCCGTTCCCACCAGGTATTCCAGACCTCCATCCTCACATGTCTGCACAGTTGTCCAAAAGTCCAGCAGTGCTACATACCCATGCAAGTTATTCCACTGCCTCCCAAGACATCCTTCCACTTATGCCTCCTGCCCGTTACTTGTCTTTCAGTAAATGTCTGTATTTTCCTTCATTTAATAAATCAGACTTGGATAAACCCCAAGAGTGTTTCCAGTATTTTTCTATTGCTGCTTGAGGGCACAATAGTTTTTGCCCCTCTCATCTTGAGAGCCCACTTAGAATTTACAAGTACCCATCAACCTTTAAGACAAAAACCAACCCTGTACCTTCCACAATCCAATGAGACAGAGTAATCTCAGGACTTTTTTTAAGACAGATTGGAAGAAAAAATTGCAAGTACTGTTAAAAAACCCCCAAACTATTCTCTTACTGTGGAAATTTAACTTTTCTGCCACACAAATACAACGTAACCACAAATTCCCTAAGCCACGTGCTGTGTGTTTTCCCAAACAGATGCTCATTCACGAGAGTGGTTTAAACAAAGGAGATAAGGTTACAGTAATCTCAAGATAAAAACGTAACAACTTCACTGTTTACTACTAAGTTCCAGTAATAACCAGAAGTGCCACGTGCTGCGGGTGGACATGAAAAGAGGGGACCTGCATCCAAGGGCTTGCTGTCCAAGAACACTAATTTCCCAAGGAACAAAGTCTGTCCTGGTGGAAGCTGCTTCCCAGCAGGCCCGTTCACAGATGTGGCAGCGCAGGGATTCAGTGATACCACACAGCAAGGTGCTGCACACCTGCCCAGGTGGATAAAGCTCTGGATAAAGCCACTGTCTGCTGGGGTGAGTTCACAGCCCCACCTGCCTCCCCGCTCATCCCGGGCACGCGGCACTCCGAGCACGCGAGTCGCACGAAACTCTGTCCTAGGAAATGTTGAGCGCAAGGTATTTTAATTTTCAGTGGCTGCATTTCCACAGAAGAGCTGTGGATGGCAACAAATTGCTCCTATTATGCAAATGAAACTGCACACTTGGAAATTGCCGATGTGGCTCTTCTGAAGATGCAGGAATTGCCAGTGTGGAAAGTTCAATTTAACAAGCCAAGTCTTCTCAAAGCACTGAAACCACAGAACACAGAATCTCTCTTGCTGATTTCCCACTGTACTTGACTGCAGGTGTAGGGGGAGAATCATGGAATTCACCTTCAAATTATGATCCCTTTAAAAATAAGGAAACTGGTTTATGTAGATCCTTGTGGGGTGCACACGCAAAAAGCCGTATCAATACATCTGACAATAATAATCAGAAACATTACATGATTCCACACAGGAACCCTTTAAACAAGTTGTCTCTCATGAGGGTTAACATGTAGAAAAATCTATTTATACCATAAGATTTCTGTTTTTACAGAGAGAGAGCCATAGCAACTGACATGATGGCAGAGAGCCCTTGCCAAGAAAAAATAAATAAATGAGGTATTTTGTTGAATGGCCAAGCTGCTGTCTGTACTGCTCTCTGAATTCTGCAAACAAGGCTTCAAAGGGAGCGTGCTGTGCTCATGAATGAAATACCTACAGACAAAACAGTCCCACACACCCAACCACGTTCCTGTCGGAACAAAAGTCCTGTCATACCGCTGGACATTGTTCTGACCCTCCGAAGCTGGTCCAGCCGTCAGCAAACTGCACTTAAAACACCACCCGAGTAGAAAAGAGTTCCTGAAAGCACCCCGGCTGCTCCGGCTCCCCACACAACGGCTGGATTCTTCGAAATCCACATCTCATGCCCGGCGTTATTGGACACACGTCCCGATCCTTTGTCCGGCTCACGCCAACGGGCCCATTCCTGTGCTCAAGGCCATTTAAAGTTTAAACAATCCATTTCACCCCAAAACGAACATGTTCGGTTCCATATTTCCCCTCTTCTTTTAATGCAAACAAAGCATGTGCTGAGGATTGCAACACAAGCGTCCCCTGATTTCACCAGGTACAAACCAGCTGAGTGATGCAGCTCAACGCTAACCCAAGGGATTTCCCCGTGGATTCTGTATGTTTAAAGAAAGTATTTTAAGGTACACACGCACAAAAACTACCGAACAGTCACAACTTGCTGGAAGAGAGATTCACTCCTGAGTCACACTGGCAACTGCTCTTTATCCCATCCCAGATCCCCGCACCGACCGTGCACAACAGGGTAGCGACCGCTTCGCTGTATTGTCTCAACACCTCGTGAGGCTTTTTCTAACAAAAGCCGAAAAAAAAAAAAAAACAGACAAAAGCGGGAAAAGGCCAAAACACGCTGAAGGCCTAACAAAAAGGACTTATTCAGAAGGGGTATAACCTTTCATTACATGATTTAAGGGAGGTTCCAGGGGCAGTTTCGCGCTCTCTCTCGGAGCGCCGGTGGGAGACGATCGCGCTCGGCTTTGCTGCGCTAACCTCGGGAACTTGAGAAGTAAAATAAATAAACAAACAGGCAGCGATTAAAAAAAAAAAAAAAAAGAGGAAAGAAACTCTCAGGAGCTTTACGGGGGTATTTTTAACATGTTTTGCGGGGATTTTTTTTTCTTCCCAGAACACTTCTTGGAGCGCTATTTCCCCCCGGCGCGGGCGGCGGGGCAGCCCCGGGCCCGCTCCCCGGGCCCTTTGTCGGGGCGGGCGGCGGGAGGTGCCGGGCCCGACCCTCCGCCCGCCCGCGGCCGTGGCGCCCGGCCCGGGACCCGCGGGGGTGTGTGGCGGGCCGGGGGGTGCGGGAGGCGCCGGGGGGCGGCGGGGAGGGGGCTCGGCCGCACAATGGAGCCGCCTCTCGCCCTCACACGCCGCCGCCGCCGCCGCCTTCATGTGACTCGCGGAGGAGCGAAATGGCTGCTGGGTGCCGCCGGCTCCCCGCCCCCCGCGGCCGCCGCCGAGCCCCGACCCCGCGCGGGGCCAGCGCGGGGAGGCGCGGGGGGGACGCGGGCGCGGGGGGTCCCGGCGCGGCGCGGCCCGCTCACCATTTCCGCACTTTCTCGATGGCCGCCATCACCCGCTTGATATCATCCTTCGCCCGGCTCCGGGTCTCGGCCCGCACCGACCGGCCCGACATGCTGCTGGGGGAGGAGGGGGAGGGGGGCGGCGGGCTCGGCGGGGAACGCGGCGCTCGGCGCGGCCGGCGGCTGCGGTGCGTGTGTCGGGGCGCCCGCCCGCACAATGCCGGCGCTGCGCGGGGCTCGGCGCGGCTGCGCTCGGCGGCTCCGCTCGGCTCCGCCCGCCCGCCCGCCCGGCGGGGCCGCGCACCGCGCACGCGCAGCGCCCACAGCGAGGGAGCGGAGCGGGGCGGGGGGGGCGGAGGGAGGTGAGGCCGCCGCCGTGAGGGCACGGCGGGTGGCGGGAAGGGCGGGCGGCGGTGAGAGGGGACAGACCTCGGGCTGCCCGGCCCGCGGCGCTGGGGGGGGACACCGCGGCCACGACGGGCCGTCCCCGGCGGGGATCGGCGGAGGGGGCGCCCCGGCGGAAAGGAGCCCGCGCGGGCGGCGCTTCCAGAGCTGCCGTGGCTGGTTTTTTGAACTCCACGGTGTTCCCTTGGAGCGCAAGGCAAACGCTCCTTTCCCCACTTCCACCGCGCTCAGGCCGTGACTTACCGCAGAATTAAAAAGTTTGTCCGATTTCAGGTCACCTCAACACATCAGGGGTGGTCAGATACTGGGACGGGCTGCCCAGGGAGGTGGTGGAATCACCGTCCCTGGAGGTGCTGAATTTAGGACTCGATGCGCTACTTGGTGATAGGGTCTGGTTGACAACGTGACGATCGGTCACAGGTTGGACTCGACGATCTCGGAGGTCTTTTCCAACCTAATGGATTCTGTGATAACCCTGTGCAGTCTAACAGCATCCTGGGCACAACTAAATTTTACTGCAAAGCAGAACTGGAGGGACTTTCAGAAAGCTCAAAGCACTTCACACAGAAATAATAATGCCTGTTTTCGTGCAGGGCAGCCCCAGGGCTCCAGCGATGACAGACACACATCCTTCTCTTGTCCCAGTTGCTGTGACAGACTCTGAGTGCAGGGATAGGCGATGCTCCCTGTTAGCAAAACATCCCTGCTTGAATGGGATAAATAAATCATCATAATAATATAAATCTATAACAAGCAGATTTTGATTTTTTTTCCCCCCAATGGTTATAACGTTTCTCAGCTGCCTAAATAATTCCAATAATTTCCATGGAATTAGACTGCTTTTAAGCAGTGGAGGATCAGCTCCAACACAAATCCATGGAAGCACATGTGCATAAAGGGTAAATGGGCAGAGTTGTATGTGAGGTGATGCTCTGCAGGACGTTTGTCACAGACCTGTATTCTCTGCTGCTGTTACTGCTGGACTCCCTCATTAACTTCTCCCCAGTGCACACCTTGCTGCTCTTGCTAATTGTACAATCACAGATGTTCTCAGTACACAACAGCGATCTCTGTTTAAAAAACATTGCCTCTGAAAAGAACGCTTCTTAAGGGCCTACATTATTATTCAAATTGATGCCGAGGATGATGTAAAGAAGGAAGCGTGTTCAACAGCACTTCACTGATCTTTCTACAGCAACTTGTATCAGCCTCATTATGCTGTTTATACACACACAGTGCGATGCCGTCCCATTGGTATTACACTACTAATTGGAATTACTACTTTCAGAAAGAAAAAGTCAGTTTTAAAGGCCAAAAGGGAAACCTGATTTTAATGTACATCACAGCGTTCCTTTCTTTACCGAGGTCTGTTGGATTTATAATTACAAATCCATTCTAACCCGTCCAAGCATTTATCAATGTATTTAATCAATACAGTACTTTTACATCGCTATTCTGCTGTCAGGTTTCACAAATGAACACTGTCTTAACATAATGAAAATAGACTGCATCTGGCATAAACCCACCTGAAATAAATTCTAGGAAGGTTCCAGCCAAGGCTGGGATGGCCACCTGCTTCATTCTACAGCCACCCAGTGTTTCCGTACATAGGTGGAAAATTACAGGTTTGTGGCATGTGCTAAACTGGGGGTTTTATTCTAGAGTTTGACTGAAATGCAATTATGTGACCTTTACTTTGTAATAAACACAAAACACAAATTTTGCAGATATTTGAGGAGAGGAGTCTGGAAAGAAGGAACAAGCAGAAAACCTTGTGGCAGCTGTGATTCTGAGTCTTCGTAGATCAGAGGTTCTCCTCTCTCCTCAATTCTTTCTTTCTGGTGCAGCAATAGGTAAGCCAAGGATGTCAGCAGCAAATATCTCTGCTGTGATTTCTGCTGGAATTTCTTCTTCAATCAAAGCTGCTGCACCTGGAGAGCAGTAACAACAAGACACAGAGTAGTGATGTAAAAATGGCTTTCCAGGTCAGTAAAATTTGTTAATAAAGTAATCATGGGAAAGTGATGGTTTACTCACCTAACACTTTATATGTTTATATCAAGAACCTGTCAAACCTGCAAGTCTCACCTTGCAGCAGGTCCCTGCCTGAGAGGGGTCATTGGACAACTTTTACAGTCCAGCAATGTGATGTGATTTTAGGACCTTAAGGAATCCAGGGATTTCAAAGTTGCTGTGCAGCATCAGGCAGTTCCCTTTGGGAGCTGCACCTTTGCTGTGTGCGGCCCATTCCAACAACCCTAAACACATGCTGTTCCAAACTGGGGGGGACTGGGACACAAATCATGGGAAAATGCAGTTCTAACTACAATGGGCAATGAAATACAGCCACTTGGCTGAAATCGATGCTGTAATTTGCTGTTCCAGACTGGTGTGGACTGGGACATAAACTGCAGACAAATGCGGTCGTTACCAACAGCTCTATTACAATGGGCACTGCTGCCTGGGTGAAACCAGCTCTGGGATTTCCCCGAGAGTTTCTAATTTCAGTTCCAGCCAGCAGATAAACAGCAATGTAATCTTGTCAGGCCCCAGTTATAGTTCATTGTCCATTTATTTTTAGATACACCCGTGTGATTGCTGCGTGGATGAAGGACAGTCTGTAGCTCTGTGACTATTTTTGCAATCCCGTCTGAGCACTTTTGACAGCTCTTGGCCTAACGGGGTAAATGGGTTTGAAATTTAAATTGTTCCATTTGGGAATTGAAGCAGTCCTGCTTCTGTGCTGTGTGGAATGCTAATCCTGTACCTGAGGGATCAGAGGTGTCTGGTTCAGATCCTTGTCTCCCGCGTCGCCTGCCCAGCAGGGTGGTCAGACACTGGGCCAGCTCGTCCTCGGTCATCTGCTCTCCTGCACACAACAGAGCAAGGCCAGCCCGTGGGTTATGGGGTCAAGAGCACAAAAACTAGAAAGGAGCTCGAACAGGAACAGTGCACAAATGAAACAGGACAGTTTGAAAGGGGATTCGGCCTCTGTGATAGAGGGATGTACCAATACACGTGAAAATGTTGTTCCTAAGGAAAATTGTTCTTCCCTATCGCTTTTTGGGAAGCTTTTTGGAAGCGTTAATCAAAGCGAGAAATTCTGATGCAGACAGCTCTTTAGGCTACATTGCACTTGCAGGGGCTTGAGCTTCTCTTCCCACTGGAGAATTCCTGGCACAGATCACAGTCCACGTAGCCATTTTCACACAGAGGAGGAAGAGGAAGGTGGAGAAGTCTTGATTTAGTCTCTTGGAATAACGTGGACATGGCACTTGTTCCAAGTTAGCGGTTGGCTCATGCCCTGCAGCATGAGGTTATAGATCTGTTATGAAACTGTTCTATCTGATGTATCTATTTATGGATGTTCACACCATCCACATAAATAACTAACCTTTCTCACACTGGCTGAATCCTTGGTTTCCAAGGATCTTTGTGTCAAGGAGTCTTGCCAGGTGATGTACTGAGTCAACCAGCATTTCCCTTTACCTGTTTTAATGCTCAGCTGCACTTTTACGCCAGGAGTAAGACAACAAAAGATTATTATTTACCACTCTATGGCACTGGACACAATTATATTTATACACACATTTACAATGTTCTTCCTGATTCAGCTCAGCTAAACCATCATATCTTTTCAGTCTTTCACACAGATTCAGTTCAGGACTGACTAATTTCATCCCTCCTTTCTTGTGCCCTTTTTATCAGTTTTATACTACCTTGCCAAAGCCTGCCTGGCTGGAACAGAGAACAGTGACTCAGATAAGGGTATACTGGAAGAAGGATACATTTTACCAAGATCCATACTCATCATTTGACAGCCAAGATACCTCAGGCCAGCAGAGATTTCCAGAGCAGTAAAAAAAGAGCAGCTGAGACAACAGATGTGGTTATTCAATTTAAAATCTTAAAACAAGTGGCTCCCCACGCCTGCCCTGGTTACCAAACCATGGTTCCAGATTAATTTTTTGCTGCAGTGAATAAGTTCTGAAATTGCAGGCAGAACTGGAAAACATAAAACTAATATTAGAAGAGAAATAACTCACCTCTGCACTGAAGCAGAGACAGTAAGTCTCCTCTGTCAATAACTTTGTCTCCCTTCTCGTTATCATAACCAAGAACCTGAAACGCTCGTTGTAGGCTTTTCATCGACAAGCCAAGCGCAGGTCGATGATTTATATAAAGTTTGATAAAATCCTCCAGATTGATTTCTGTCACTTGTTCTCCGGTGTCCACGTACTTGCTGAATTTTACCTCATTTATCATTTCTTCAATCTAAAGATCAAGACAAGAGAGATTGTTACGCATTTTTTTTGCAGAGCATCGGGCCAGTTTCCGATCTGGTGACTGCCAATGCACCATAACCGTGCACACACTGGTAGCGCAGGTGCCGTGACCGGATCCCAGTGGGAAGCTGCACTCGGCAGCTGAGGACGGGCACGGCCAACAGTCACACACTTGCTGACATGATGACATTGGGTGAAGAGGGGGGTTGCATGTACGTTGTCATTTTGGATTTCCTCTCCCGTGACGGGCACTCGGTGACTCCGCAGCTGTTACCGGTACCTTCGCCACAGCTGCGTCTGCACTCTGGGGACAGCGGGCGGGCAAACCACACACCGGTAAACACACCATCCCTGCTGCGGGAGCACGTGCAGGAGAGTCCCCACATAACCAGGCTGCACACCCTGGCTGGCACAAATGATCTTCCCCTCCCTCTGACACGTGTCTGGTGAGGTTCTGCCACCACACAAGCCAAATCCAAACGTGCTCGGTGCGGCTGACAGCCTGCGCTCTCCTCCCGGACAAACAGGCAAGCCCTGGCCGTGCTGGGTGCTTGTGGTTTTCCTGAAGTCTGGTGCTGTG